GAAGGGATAGACCTTCTTGCCGCAGGATCACAGTCCAAAGTTTATTATTTTAAATATCTTATGAACGTCAAGCACTAAGAAGACAAAAAATTCAGTACATTGGAATTTCACTCATGTTATTCATGTCGGCTACTCCGGCACTGCGTTATTGGCTATCAGGGGCTGAGGTCACAATGAAGTGTTGCAGACAAACAGCCACATATGCCATGATTTGGGTTGAAGTATCTGCATTAGAGTTTCAAGGGTTAACAATCTTATTCTCTTAGTACATGATTGGATTCGTTGGCATGTCTATGATTTTGGACCATGCGGCTTTAATACTCAACAAATAACAGCAGTAACGGTTGTTCCTGTATTTTTTTATGCAAGTATTCGCACAACCTGAAAGAGACCTGACATCCATAAGTCGGATGATGAATTTGAGTTCGTGCACTCCATTTATCAGTTAAGAGCATGATAAATGCTATCGTCATAAGCTAGCAGCCTGTGCATGTGATGATGGCTGAAACAAATTCTGATTTGCTCTGTCCCCTAAGTACTAGAAACAGCATTTGCTGTAAAAAATGATTTTAGACCGAATGGTAAGACAGACGTGGTTCCCCCATTTAGACTGGGCGTTAGTTATTTGCAGCTGTGATGTGTACGCATTAGGGTATTTGTGTTTAAAGTGTTACATTTTGTATAATGCTTTTAAGCATAGCATCTTTTTTTAGTCAACTCAGTCTCGACCGAAGGACGTTGAACAGTAGGTAGTGAAGGTGGAAAGCGTTAAGAGGGGAAGTAGCGAATTACAGCGCCTCAAAACAGTGAACTTTCCGAGGGTTTGAAACATCGCAGGTTTGTCATGCTGGTGAGCGTTCTCATTTCGTTTTTGTTTATGGCAGAAATTTGACCCGTGATTCTTTTTAGTAAATCGATGATGAATTCGTATCTGTTGGAAAACTGAACTGTCAAGTTGACCACGAGTAAGAAAAGTTCTCAAGAAATTTATTGGCAGTTGTACAATAAGCGTTCACTAAATGGGCAAGTCATGAACAAATCGCTGAATCTCTTGTTCATTTCAGGCGAAAAGCAGTGAACTTCAGTTTAGCTCCGAAGGTACATGTAGAATGATGTGCAGCCACTGCTCGGCGCTAACGATGATCTGATCTCGCAGTTGATCGTTGGTAGTGCAAGATCAGAGAGTTGAAGAACCTTTGTCTATCTGACCATCTTCCTGCCGCTATTGACTCACCACTTTTCCATTACAAGGCGTCTGCAGGTAGCTGATGAGCTGAACTTTAGCAGAGTGTAAATTATCATAATCACAGCTAGCCTTTTTCGATCCACTGCTGAAAAAGGCTTCTCAAAGACAGTGCCATTCTGCAAATTGTATTCACTCTGTTCTGAGAAACTTAATCGTCGCAGCCTGCCATCGATATGGGGTTTTCCTTCAGGCCTTTTAATCCCTTTTGTAATTCAGTTTAATATCTGTGGTTGAGCGATGATAGGTTCTTCCTGCAATGTGTCTTACTCATTGCTAAGCTATGAAATGGCGGGCGCCAGTTTGTGTTCTTACTCATTCATTCGTTTTCCTGTCTATTTTTATTATTCACAACATGCAATGAACACGATTGTTAACACTGAACGGAAATTTTGCTTAATGTTTCTTTTAGTTCTATTTCATTCTCTTAATTATCATTTGTTTGTCGATTGTGTTCGTTCACACCTGTAGTACCCACGATCCATCAATCATTGGAAAGTCTGTCGATGATTAAGTAGTTTAGACCCACGCTTCTAACAAAGAACGAATATTCCAATATGATTATATTAGCAAGAGGAAGGCTTGAAAGCATCCAATGCATTCGGATGCCAATCCATAAACTTCAGTACGTTCTTCCTCATCAAAGCGGCACCTGGCAGAAGAAAAGAGTACATGATCTGAGGCCAGTGGGTTTACTGTAGAGAAAGAGGTTGATAAATACGGTGATTAGAACAGTACAGATGAGACCTGCCAAAGACATGCAGCGACAAATGCATCTGTATGAATAAGTTATAATATTTAACGTTAATCAGCACAAATGAAAATTTACACTTCAGATTAACGTGATATTGAGAAGATACAGCTGTCATTAAAGTGCTCGTAATAGACTAAACCATGTAATAATTTTCAGAGTAGCGGATGCACTTCAGAAGAAGTATTGAAACGGATCTAAGTTTTAAATTGCAGTTTATTAGTTATATCTGATTAAAATGATTTATTATTCTAGTAATTATTTAAACTGTATATTACTATTCCGAGACATCTACGGATTTTCAACTTTACATAATCAGTTCACATATGATGCATACTTCATCCAAGGCCTGAGTTCACGGGGTATCATACCTCATTGCTCATAGTTGCATGGGGTTATATTTAATCAGCTCATGCCTCCATGGTGTTTGAGCCCCTGAAATTGTGTTATGTGTATCTCGCT